AGTGAAAATTCTCAAAGCAGGGGATAAGGAAGGACACCACTACTACTCCCCTCACCTTGCCTAGTTCACAAGACAGGAGGAAAGAGAAAGCAAAAAGTTAGAAAGAAACCAAAGTAAGATAAACAGCTAGACAACCTTGGCACCACCACCCAGCCCTAGGAGTTAAAAAAAGTAATAATAATAACATCAGCCCCTGACCTAAACTACTTGTGTTGTCTGTAAATCCCAGACGCTGTATGAAAAAACCATTGTAAAACTTTTTGTTCTGTTAGCTAAGGCATGTAGCCCCCAGTCACGTTTCCCACGCTTGCTCGATTTATCACGACCCTTTCACGTAGACCCCTTAAAGTTGTAAGCCTTTAAAATGGCCAATAATTTCTTTTTCGGAGAGCTCTTAAGATACGAGTCTGCCGATGCTCCCGGCTGAATAAAAAACCTCTTCCTTCTTTAATCTGGTGTCTGAGGAGTTTTGTCTGCGGCTCGTCCTGCTACAATATATGCATCTGCAGTCCCAGCCACTCAGGAGGCTGAGGCCAGAGGATCTACCTGAGCCCATGAGGTCGAGGCTGCAGTGAGCCATGATCACAGCACTGCATTCCAGCCTGGGTGACGGAGTGAGAGGAAGGAAGGAAGGAAGGAAGGGAGGGAGGGAGGGAGGGAGGGAGGGAGGAAGGAAGGAAGGAAGGAAGGAAGGGAGGGAGGGAGGGAGGGAGACATTTACATCAGTAGACTTTGAGTAAAGCAGATGACCTTCATATTGTGGTGGGCCTCGTCTAGTTGGTTGAAGGACTAAGAGGGAAAGACTGAGGTCCCCTATGGAGGAAGGAACTCTGCCTCCTGATGACCCTCGGACTCGAGATGCCAACAGTGGCTCTCCCTGGGTCTCCAGCCTGCCCTGCAGATTTCAACAGTGGCTCTCCCTAGGTCTCCAGCCTGCCCTGCAGATTTCAGACTTGCCAGCCTCCAACAATCACATGAGCCAGTTCTTTACAATAAATCAGCTTCTCTCTTTCTCCCTCTATGTATCTACACACACATACTATCTGTAGAGAGAAATGGGATTGGAAGGATGCGTGTCTACAGACATACACATACGCATACATCCATCAAGAGTGTGCTCGCGTGTCCTACTGGTCCTGCTTCTCTGGAGAGCCTTGACTGGCACAGGACTGTCTGCTGGAGGATGGGCATCTAGCTGCTGGAAGGGGAGATTCTGGCCTTGGCTATAGGCTCCCCTGAACCCAGCAGGGTGGGGACCACATGCACCCTCCGGAGCCTCCTCACTCTCTTCCCGGTGAGAGTCGTCCTCCCAGCTCCTGGCAGGCAGATCGGGACACACCGTGGAGCGCCACAAGTGCCTGTTGATTGAACAAAAGGCCTGAGCTTCCCTCACTGTGCTCTGCTACCCTTGACACTGGCGTGACAGCAGAGACTCCTGTAGGGCTGGCCAAGGGGCTGGACACCGGCACCCTCGCTCACTGCCACAGGAGCAAGCTCCAGGCAGCGAGGGCCAAGGCCAGGCCAGGTGGAGCCCGCCCTCTCTCTATCCCTCTCTGTCTCTGTCTTACTTTGCCTTGTCTCTATATCCAAGCCCCAAATTGCATCTCTTGTTTTTTGCTATAGGCTTCAAAAATGTACACAATTTATAAAATGTCTCAAAAATGTACACAATTTACAACTTACGAGATAATTAAAGTAAGAAATCCAAGTACTTCCCATTAAAAAAGTCCAAATCTCCAAAGCAAGGACTCTGGCCAGAACCAAGAAGGGTGTCCTGGGGTCAAGAAGGCCCTGGGGCCACGGGGCTCTGCTGGGTGGAGGCGCCAAGCCGCAGCCCCAGGGAGGTTGAGGGGCCAGTTCTGAGTCTGTCCTCCTCCTCAGAGGCGGATTCCTGGATCACCGGGAGGAAAGGTGACACAGATTCCTTTCTTGTCCCCAAGGCCAGTGAGCTCGGCCACAGGCTGTCTCAAACGTCCAGGGTCAAGGGGACAGGGAGAAAGGGGACAGCGTCAAGAGGGACGCGAGAAAGAGTTGGTCGGCAGGAGTTGGAAAGTCCTCCCACCTGGGAACTCCCTCCGCAGGGTAAAGGCGCCTCCAGAGCAAACACTGGCTGATCAGCCAGCAATCTCCCTTTGTGCGCCCGCCTGGCTGCTGGTGGGAGCTGTTCCGGGTCACCCTCCCAGCCTCTCCTGTTGCTCGAGGCTGTCCCAGTGCTGCAGACCCTCATCCTGCACTGACCCTCAGGACTCAAGGACCCCTGCCTGCTGCCTCCCAGGCCTCCCCACTGCTGGCCCTTGTGCTCAGACACACGGCAAATGCAAATGCCCGTGAGCTCTCCCCTTAGCATCTGGGCAGCTGACTACACAGACACTGTGCCTCAGTTGAAAGGGAAACAGGGTTAGAAGCCAGCCAAAAGCGTCCAAGCCGGGGCTGCCGGCTTCGTGACCTGTCTGCAATTCCCCAACACCGAGGATCATCAGCATCTACACTGGGAGAATCCTTGGCCACCGGGAACCTGCCCCGCCTGGGCGATGGATTCTTGGTTATCAGGAGAGACGCCCTGCCCTGCACCCCCTGCTGGGAGGGGAGGTCCTTCCCCAAGGAGCTGCCACTGGACCTCTGGAGGACCCCCACACTCCACCCTCAGAACCCTCCAACACCACCTGCTGTCTCTAGGTTTCAGGGACATCAGGGGCTGGGCCTGAACTCCGGATAGGGCTGAAGTCCCGTGCCCTCACACCCGTGGTCGCCTTTGGAACCACGTCTCCCAGAGGCCCTCTCAACCACAGCCACTCGCCCTGTGCAGGGCCTCGCATAGGGGAGAGGGATGCCCTGGGGCTTTTCTCCGCCTCGGGAGAGCAGTGAAGCCTCGGTGCCGAGAACTTGGGCATAGACAAAGCAGAGTGGAGCACGGGCCAGAGCTCGCCCCACAAACACAGCGGCTCCAACGCGACAGTGAACGTCCGGTCTGGTGGTGACGGGCATGATCCACAACCAAAGCAATGGGTCCTGGCCCGGGTTTTCCAGGCAGCTCCCGAATTCCCCCAACCCCTGCCCTGCCGTCGATTTGTTTCTTGGTTGTTAAAGTACTTTAAGCCTTTAAGAAATAAACGATGCCAAGAACAGGGTTGGGATGCTTTGGCTTTCTTCCCTCATTCCCTCCAGACTAATTTTCTTTTCATTTCTAAAATCACAGATTGATGACACCAACCACAAAACCAAACAGCAAAACTGGACTCCCCAAAGTCAACACCCCTCTGCCCCACAGGGTCCTCCTTCCACTCCACCCAGGGGTCCCACAGCTTCCAGAGCAGCCCTGAGATGGAGTTAGGGTTCTGCTCCAGGCGGAGATTAGAGAAGGAGGAGACTGAGACAGGGGCACTCTCGCTTCCACTTTGAGGCACAGAAGGGGCCGGGGCCACCTGCACTGAGGGAAGCGCTGACCCCTGTCCACATTCACAATGGTCGGAAGAGAAACTGGGGATGGAACCCCAAGGCACCACGTGGGACGGTCGCAGCAAGACGGCTTCATCCAGAAGGATCCTAAAATCTCACGCTCCCTTCACAGCGCCTGACAAGGCGCTGCAGACCCTGGGAGGATGATGCGTGGGTCCCGGTGTCCTGTGCAGGGACACCCTGGCTCACTCACTCCCCTAGACAGAGGCCGGCTTGTTCTGGGGGAGCCTGGGAGAGGTCGGTTCAGGCAGAGGTCTTGCTCCTCCTCAGGCAGCAAGGCAGGGGGATACTCAGCCACCGCTGGTCAGCACTGAGCTTCATCTCCATCTGTCCGTGCCCCGAGTAGCCTCCCTTCGCTTGGCTGGGGAGAGAGGGCCAGGGCTTGTCTGTGCTGCCAACCTCAAGCCCCCACTATAGATGAGAAGCCCCCAGTCCTTTGCAGCACTGGATACAGGTGCTGCCACTCACTTCCTGGGGCAGCAAAAAGTGCACATGAAGCACTTTGGGTTCTTACAGCTCTTCCATGCGACGCAATCCCGCTGAAGGGTCTGTGGAGCCCAGGGGGCTGGCCCCGCCCCCCCACCTGCCGTCTGCATGTACTAGAACTCCAGGTAAGAATTCACATAAATCCAGGAACCTGCTACTGCACAGAGGCTTCCTGGAAGCCCCTGGAGTCAACAGCCCCTCAGAACAGCACACTCGGCACTGTGCATGTGTGGTGTGTGCATGTGTACATGTGAGTGGTGTGTAACTGTGCATGTGTGTGGTGCATGCATGCATACGTGTGAGTGGCGTGTGTGTGCATGTGTGTGGTGTACGCATGTGTACATGTGAGTGGTGTGTAATTGTGTGCGTGTGTGTGGTGTGTGCATGTGTACATGTGTGAGTAGTGTGTTATTGTGTGTATTGTGTGGTGTATGTATGTGTACATGTGAGTGGTGTGTAACTGTGTGCATGTGTGTGGTGCAGTGTGTGTACATGTGTCAGTGGTGTGTGTGTGCATGTGTGGTACATGCATATTTACATGTGTGAGTGGTGTGTGTGTGCATGTGTAGTGTGTGCATGTGTAAATGCGTGAGTGGTGTGCAATTGTGTGCATGTGTGTGGTGTGTGCATGTGTACAAGTGTGAGTGGTGTGTGTGCACATGTGTGGTGTGTGCATGTGTACATGTGTGAGTGGTGTGCAATTGTGTGCATGTGTGTGGTGTGTGCATGTGTACACGTGTCAGTGGTGTGTAATTCTGTGCATGTGTGTGGTGTGTGCATGTGTACATGTGTGAGTCGTGTGCAATTCTGTGCATATGTGTGGTGTGTGCATGTGTACATGTGTGAGTGGTGTGTAATTGTGCCTATGTGGTGTATGCATGTGTACAAGTGTGAGTGGTGTAACTCTGTGCATGTGTGTGGTGTGTGCATGTGTACGTGTGAGAGTGATGTGTAAATATTTGTGTACATTATGGATGTGTGTGGTGCGCCCGCCCCCTTGACCTCCGGCAGACGCGGCCCCTGGGCATTTCTGCAAGTGAGGCCTGAGCGATGCTTACTTCTGATCACACAGAGGCCAAAGAACTGGGTGTCTCTGATGCTCACCGCGTTGCACACTTGCTGGAAAAGCTCCCGGCCAGTGGCCTTCACCTGCAAAAGAGGTGGGGAAGGGCTCAGGGAGGGGCTGGCACCTGTCCCCAGGGAGGCCACCTGAGCAAACGAGGCCCAGTAGGGCACCAGGGGGACCACCCAGTCAGGCACTCCCTGCAGCTAACAGGTCTGGGTCCCTCACTCTCTCCCAAAGCTGAAGGCTAAACACCAGCCACATGCCCATCAGAGCACCTGTGAGTGCAGGGGAGTGAGGGTGGAGGGGGTGGGGTGCTCTGGACGGTGGATCAGGGCTGCCCCCTCCATCACTGTCTGTCCCTGGTGTGAGGATTTCCCGAGCTCAGTCAGGGACACATGATGCAGCGTCACCTCCAGGGCCGCCCTCTGGGCTCTGTCCTCGCACAGCACAAATGAATGCTTGGTCTGCCATGAGCGTGAGCATAGGTGTCTCTCATCATCCATCGCCCAACTGATGCGAGTGATCCCAACAGTGTTCCTACAGCTGAGCCTCTGACAGCAGCCTCTAAACACCCAGCGTCTGGTGCGTGTTCCTGTTTCCGGTGTCCCGTGTCCACATTTCCGGCATCCCGTGTCCACATTTCCGGTGTCCCGTGTCCACATTTCCGGGGTCCTGTGTCCACATTTCCGGTGTCCCGCACGTGAGGCTACTTCACACCTGTTCGGCCCCGGCATGGCTGGGACTGGCGGGCGTCCCCTGCAGAGCTCTCCCTGAGTCCTGTCTGTTGCAGCTGTGGGGCCCATCTGTGGCCACCGGGCAGGAGAAGCGGCGTTCTCGGGTGGAATCGCAGCGCACCAAACCTGTGACCGATGGTGCCGGCCAGTAGCTGTGCGCTTTGCTCTCAGACTCTCCCGAGGACCCTCACTTGGGGCTCCAGGAGGAAATCTCACAGCAGGGCACAGCTGGGGCAGCTGGATCTGCAGGAGGTCATTTTGCGGTTCTTCATTTGTACAGTCTCAAGTCAAATGAGGTATTCAGCTTACTCATCCTGAGTTAATCCTGAGTTACTGTAAGACCGGCTACCTTATTGATATGGTTTGGCTGTGTCCCCGCCCAAATCTCATCTTGAATTGTAGTTCCCATAATCTGCCCGTGCTGTGGGAGTGACCTGGTGAGAGGTTATTGAACCATGGGGGCGGTTTCCCCCATCCAGTTCTGATAGCGAGTGAGTTCTTATGAGATCTGATGGTTTTATAAGGCGATTTCCCCTTTGCTGGGCACTCATTCTCTCTCCTGCCACCCTGTGAAGAGGTGCCTTCTGCCATGACTGTAAGTTTCCTGAGGCCTCCCCAGCCATGTGGAAGTGTGAGTCAATTAAACCTCTTTCCTTTATAAATTACCAAGTCTTGGGTATGTCTTTATTAGCAGCATGAGAACAGACTAATACGATTATTGTCTGCTTAACGTGGTGAAGGGCAGGTCCCACAATGGTAGTAACACAGATCTTCAGTGATGGTCTTCCCAGCCCATCCCTTTCTAATAACTGGGCTTGACACATATTTGGTTGAATACAGGGTTCCTGTCTAACTGCAGACACAGGTGTGCACACACTCCGATAGAGGGTTCCCTGTCTAACTACAGATACACACAAGTACACACCCTGATAGAGGGTTCCTGTCCAGCTGTAGACATGGATGTGTGCACACCCCAACAGAGGGTTCCTCTCTTACTGCAGACACAGATGCACACACACCCCAATAGAGGGTTCCTGTCCAACTGCAGACACATAGGTGCGCACACCCTGATAGGAAGTAGGCTCTGTGGTTGCCAACTTGCTGGGCCCAGCAGGGGCCACAGGAGTTGCAGAGGCACTTCAAGGGGCTCAGTCAAAAACAGACGAGCATGACTCACCCAGGGGGTCCACTGTGTTCTGGCTGCATGATCCCTCAGTTAAAATCTTACTGTGAAGTTCAGTGCAAGAAACATAAAAGTTCCAGCTCTTATGGGGCAGGGGGCCAAAGCCACAGCATCTTCCCTGCAACAGGTCCTCTTATGACCCCTCCCCCAAGCCTGAGGCACCGCTGGGGACCCCAGGAAACTACGGGACACCCCCCATTACCTCAACTCCAGCTTCCCATTGCCGGGTGGGGACACAGAGTCTTGGGGGAGATTTTGCCACAAACATAGACATGGGCATTTACTTAAACACAGAACTCTTATCTCTAGGCAGACAAGAGATTCCCAGGGGAATCTTGAACCAAGATATTACTAGCAAGTCATATTTCATTCCAGGTAGCGTTGATAAATTAGCTACGCAGAAAGTCATTGTTCTTTAACAAACCACTCTCATTTTAATTACACATTTTCATTATCCACATTAATCATTAAAATGAAAGTACTCTCTCAACTCCTGTCCCCACAAACTCAACTGAAACAGGTAGACAAAATGGGGGAAAAGGAAACAGAGAAGCAGAGAGACAGTGACGTCTGAACACAAGACAGGAGCTACCCCTTGGAAACCAGCTTCCTGGTGCTCTTCCCTCAGCGCTCCCAGGAGGGATGTGCTGAACCGTAAACTTATTTCTCACAGCAACGTCTATCAGTGATGTTTCCTTCACAGGCCCAGTGAAAGGGCTGACCGTCCGACACCTCACAGGCACCTGGCGTAAGCAGAGTGAGGCGGTCCAGGGATTTCTCAGTACACAGGCTGTGTCCTAAGGCTCTGCTCACCCCATACCCCTGCTCACCCCACAACCCTGCTCACCCCCATGGCCCTGCTCACCTCCATGGCCACCCAGGGCCCTGCTCACCCCCATGGCCCTGCTCACCCCCATGGCCACCCAGGGCCCTGCTCACCCCCACGGTCAGCCGCAGCTGCTCCTGGCTGGGCAGCAGCACAAGGACGTCCCTGTGTTCTGAGGCCATCGCGTCCATTCCCAGGGTGGGCTCCTGCCGGTTGCCTGCAGGCCTCTCAGGACTGGGCTCCATCCATCGCGCCCCTGAAGGAAGGAATGTGTCAGGGTTTGTCTGGGTGGGGTCTATGCCCCACCCTCTCGGGGGCACCGCCATGCTGACGTTACTGGGCCCTCCCCGGCCATGGGTCACGGGTGGGTGCTCAGCACCTCCCAGATCACAGCTGTGCCTTCCGGGACCCGCCCTTGCTGAGCTTCTCACTGGGAAGGGAACTGAGAGGGAAGCCTGGGCTGGGAATCCAGCGTGGCCAAGCCAGGGCAAGGGTCAGAGCTGCAAATAGCTGGGTGTGTGGAGGGTGCCTGGAATGCAAATAAACAACCTCAGGGCACCGGCCATGCAGCGCTCCTGTGCAGGGCAGCTCAGCACCCAGCCTCACAGTGTGGACCGCGTGAGACCGAGGTTGGGGGAGACAGGACCCAACTCCCCCAGCTGACAACCCCTAGCTCCTCGGAGTGCCTGCTCCTTCTTCTATAATGTGGAGGGGGTCAGGCAAACCCCACGGGCACAGATGCCAGAGCCAGGGCTGCTGGGGATGATGGAGCAGCAGCAGAGGAGGAGGAGGAGGGCGGGAGGAAGGCAGCCTGGGCGGGCACCCTGCCCCACACACCTCCTGTGGCATCTGCTACTGAGCTTAGGAAGCAACATGGTGGCCATTCCTAGACAGGTTCTGCCAGGAGGGACCCTAGCTCCCTGTAGGGACTGGAAACTGAGGACACTTCGTTCCTTGCCTAGGGCTAGCAAATCCCTTCCTGCCTGCAGCGGCTGGAAGGCCAGGAAGGGGGTCCTGGCTCGGGTGGACAGCAGACGGGGGCATCAGCATGAAGGGTGGGGACATCTCCCGCAGGGCCTGGAGCCCCGGCTGCTCTCAGCAGAGATGAGCAATGCCTTTGAGCTCTTTGGCACAGCGTTAGGGAGGGGAAGGGACCCCAGGAGCCCCCCTGGCCCTGGGAGCACCCAGACCTTTGGGCACTGCGGTTCAGGAGATGCAGTTCCCACGGGCCTGGGCTGCGGAATTCTGTCCTCAGCCGTGCGCCCCTTCGGTTTCCTGTCATGGAGTCTGGGATGCTCTGGGACCTTCCTCTAGTAAGGGGTCTGGAATCCCAGAGGGGCAGTTGTTCATCTCAGGAAATTCGAACTCCAGCCGCCTTAAGGCCTGGCCTGGTGGGTTTAGAAGATTTAGGAGGCTCAGGTCTCACCTTCCCAGGCCCCTGGAATGACGCTGGCTCCCTCCCTCCCTCCCTCCGCTCAGATCCGGGCCTTTCTCAGACCCTCGAGGCCACACACACCCCCCCAAGACAGCAGTGGTGGTCTCTTTTCTCTCCACAGCAAGCGTAGAGCTGTTGACTATGGAAGATGTGGGGACCCCTTTAGCCGAGAGCATAGAAATTTTTTTTAAATGGCAAAAAAACAGCCCCAGAGAGCAGAGGCTGGATTCTCACGGCCCTGGCACTGGCTCTGGTGCCTGGGCAGCTCGTCCCCGTGCCAGGCGCCCTCAGCCTCTGCTCGGAGTCACAGTGCTGGCGTATCAGGAAGGGCGGCAGCAGCTGCACCTCTCAGGGATGCCTGGGCACAGGACAGTGGCAGAGGGCAGGCGGGGGCTGGGGGTCGGGGGGCAGCAGAATACCGCCGCCACACACAGCACAGAGGGGACAACAGGCACCAGGACCCCTCGGTGGGGAGAGCCGGGGACATGGTGGGGTGGGGAGTTGTGCTGGGCACACTCATGATCAAAGCGATGGTGCCCCACATGTGTGCAGGTGCTGGTGTGTGTGGGCCCTGGCATGTTACAGGTGACCTGGGGCCAATGGGCTCCAAACATCACTAGTGAGAAGAAAAGGAAAAGCAATGGAAACCTCCACATTCGTATTGATAAACACAATAAACAGATTCTTGTCAAGGCAGGACGTCCCTGGCCTCAGCTCTTTCCTTCCCTCCCGGAGTCTCAGGGCCACACAGTTGAGGCTCAGTGCTCCAGTGAAGGCCGCCGTGCATCCGAATGCCAGGGAGATCTGGGCTTGGGAAGCCCCGTCGTATTCCCAGGAGAGTGCGGCTTTTTCCTGAAAACATGCTGAAGATCCAAGGCAAGGGTGGTCGCCGTGAGCACCTCCCACCAGGGCACTGAGGGGACACCGTGGGAACCTCTGTACCCAGCTCATCAGGAAGACAACTTTGCACCCGGAGAAAGAAGAGGCGTGACCAGGCCCCAACACAGACCCCACCTCTGAATGTCGTGTCTTCTCGACTGGCGTGTGCGCGATGGAAGAGGTTGGCTTGCCACGTTCGTGATGTCAGGGCCAGGCAGTGGACAGGCAAGGCCATGAGGAAGATGAGGCCACCACCTGGGTCTCTTCAGGGCTGAGCCCTGGAGTCCTCCTCGGCCCAACTCTCCCTTCTTCTCTACAGCTGGTTTCCATCCTCTATGATGAGATGGGCCTGCTGAGAACATTCTAGAACTCAAGCTTCGGAGACCTAAGTCCACAAAGCACAGGTTTTAGAAAACAATGTGGGAATGCTGTTCCGTGGGGAAAAGGAAGGCAGAACTGACACAGGGATGGGTCTAAAAAATCCCGCTGCGAGGGAGACGCTGGACGCAAAAGTCCTGGCTCCATTCTGAGACGTCCAGCAAAGGCTGCCTCTTCGGGGCCAGGGAGCTGGCAGCAGGGACTGCAGAGGGGCGAGGTTTCCTCTGGGGGCAGTCGGATGGCAGTGATGGCTGCACAGTTCCTAAATGCTCTGAAGTTTATTAAATGGTTCGCTTAAGAGGAATATATTTTACAGCATGCAAACTATGCCTCAATAAAGCTATTTAAAAACACCACAAGTTATAAAACGGTCACACAAAAAGCCTTCAAGATACGGCAGGAAGTGCACCCGTGCGCCATAGCTCAACCCATTCCACCATGTGGGCGTGAGTGTGAGACACGTGGGTGCCGTGTGAGGGTGTGCCTGTGTAGATGTGAGTGGGTACATGCTTGTGCACATATGTTCACATGCAGCCTTAATGTCCGGGAATGCTAGGGCTGCCCACTCCTCCTCCACATCCTCCTCTGCACAATCAGCCACACCGACTAATCTTTTTCTGCACATCACAGAACAAGGCGAGGCCCTTTACCGACTCGGCTGTGATGGCCGCAACACCCAGTCTGCGGATGAGGCGTCTGGCTGGGCTCAGAGGCCAAGCTGCTCAGTGAGTGGCCAGCCAGGGTCTCGCTCCATGCTCAGCCTCCACCCCCACCATACAGCCTATACTCTGCTCTCTCCCTCCGGCCACCCGACCTTGCCTGGTTGAAATCCAAAAAGAAAACCAGTGTCTGCTGGAAGGAGCCCAGGGCTGCCCACTGGGTCCCCGGGAGGTCCCTGCTGCCCGTCAGCACCGTGAGGGCTTCTCACCGCGCTCAGTAACACACTTGCTCTCCTTGCACGTTTTCCCGGAAAAGAATGTTGGCCAGATGCAGCACATTTTGCTCCTTGGTAAGTAGGGAAACTGAGGCACACAGCAGCTAAGTGACTTGTTCAGGTCCCCAGGCTCCGAGATTCCTGAGACCTGCCGCAAAGCTCCTCCCTGAATCTACTGACCCCCTCTTCAGAAGTCATCTCAGAAGAGAGAGATCATTCTTATGAGTGAACCATGCAAGCCCATCTTCTGGGACGACTGAGGCTGGTATTTGGGAGATGCACCACCTGACTTTTGCTGCACTGCCCAAGTGGATGGTGCAAGGCCTGGGTTGGGGTGTGCAGTGGGGTGCAGGGCCTGGGGCGAGGTGGGCAGGGTGCTCCCCACTCCAGTTCTTCCCCAGGCACTGCAGGGTCCAGGTAGGGTGGCTGGCGAGTGTCGCAGGCAGCCATGGGAGCCGAGGAATCCAAGCCTGGCCCAGGGCATATGCTCTGGGGAGCCCTTCACCCGTGGCGAGCTTACGTGTGGAGCGCAGGAGGTGCTTGCCAGAAAGGAAGGAAAAGGGCAGCTGGAGACAGCCCTGCGGACACGGCGGGGTCGTATTTATTCACCACCTGCTCAGACCTCGTAAGGTCCATGAACACCCTCAGCGCAGTAAACGGTGGGAGGGTGCAGGACCCAAGCCCATCACCCGTCTCAGTGATGCCAGCTTCTTGGTCTTCTGAACTGACCTTTGGCTGTTGAGAAAGGTCAGTGACACACTGCAGAGCGTCTCTGCTGTCTCAGACGGGATGGGCGCTGGAAAGGCCATGACCTGCCTTGTGTATCTGAGCAGCGTGGAGGGTGATGCATTCCTGCAGGGGAGGCAGCGGTGCCGGCGGGAACCGCCCCGACCGAACTTCAAAAAGTGATTCAGAGAAAGGAGCTGCTGTGAACCAAGTGCTATGAAATCAGAACGATCTCCATCAACTTGAATGAGAGGTTAAGTCAACGAATTAAGTCCAACGGGAAAGATGACCGAGAAGCCCGCCTGTTAGGACACTCCATGGGAGGAGGGTGTGAAGGGCAGCTGTGCACTCCCCATCGGGTGGCCGGGCACAGAGCAGACTCAAAAGGTCCCTCTGCCCCTCAGGAGACAGGGTGGCCTGTCCCAGGGAATGGGGCCGGCAGGGCTGGGGCCCCAGCCTTCAGGTGTGGACAGCCTCCTTGGCAAACACACACCGATCTGGGGTCTGGAAGGTGCAACGTTCATCCTGTCCCTGGCCAGGGAAGACAGCAGAGCGGGAGGGCAGAAGATGGCTTATCGATGGCTTCTTTCCTTCTCTTTTTGGTGAGATGGGGAGGCGATCTCTCCCTTTCCAGCCTTTAACGTAAGTCGATTTACTTGTTACGAAGTCTCATCTCATTTAAGACTTCCTAAATGATGGTCTCCCACACCTGGTCCCTCTTCTGAAGCCTCACTGTGGGCCTGGGGACAGAGGGTACCCCGAGTTTGGCGGGTTCTAACCGAGGAAGAATGGCCTGCAGCTTCTAGTAACCCCCACGGCCCCCCAGGTGCAAGTTGTGGGGTGTCTTCTTGGGAGAAGACTAGAGACGGCAGGTGGGGTGAAGAACCCTGTTTTCAGGGGTCTGCCTCTTCCCATTGGAAACAGCTCCCCCCTGGGAGCTCATCAGCTTCTAGGGATTAGATGGAAGCGTGAGGCATCACGAGGGCATGAAACCCATGCTTTGGTTAGAGAGGAAAATGGATTAGGAGCCACTGGGGCCACTGCAGGTGGGAAAGGTAAGTTATTTCTCAGCGCTGTGCGTATTGGGTTATGATGTACAGTGTATGTGTGTGTCTTGAGTTAAACGCATTAACTGCTGAATTTAAAAAGCCATAGAAAGCCAGGAATTACAGAATGCGTCTGACACGCTGCTCTTGCCATCTCTTAGAGGAGAACAAATCCCACAAAGAAGGGGGCTGGACTGCAGGCGTTTGGGGTGCCCCTGGACCGAGAAGAAAACCTCAGAGGTGTGGTCCCGTGGGGGAGGTCCATTGAGCTTGTTCCCAAGACTGTCTCTTCCCATGGGCCCTCCCCTGTGCTGCTCCCAAACAAAGGCAGGCGTGCAGGGCCCGGCTCCCCTTGTGAGAGCGCCCGCAGCCCCGCTGGCTCCAACTCACTTGCCCTTTGGAATGACAACGGTGCGGAATTTCATAGGGAAAAAGCCCTCTTGTCCCTTCTGTGTTATCCTTCCGAGACCAAGACCGACTCTGAGATCAGGACGTAGCAGGTGTCCCCCGGCTGAGAGATCTCACCTCCCACCTCATTCCTCCCTGTCACAGGGACAGAGCAGGGCCTGCCCCACATGGGGGTGGTGACTAAACGGCCAGAGCTAGCAGCAGAAAAGGTTGAGGGGCTGCAGCAGCAGAGCGGGCTGTTGGGGGAGGGTGGGACCTGCTCCAGGCCCCGTGGACGTGGGTGTCCGTCCCTCCTGTGCTCCTGGTCTGTGCCAAGCGGGCACATTCCCACAAAGGACTGGCAGGTCCCTCCACCAACACTGAGCTCCACAGTCCCTAGCTTCCGGTTACAAGGAATATTTGGGGCAGTTGGGTGGCTCTGAGTAGAGTCCCTGAACCAGGCAGTCATTAACGGCAGACCAGGATGCAGGGGTGACCTGGATCCTAGAGAACTAGAAAGGCTCCAGCCTGAGGGCCTGTGGGGAGCCGGGCCTTTCTCACCTGACGCACAGTGTGGAAGCTGCAGGAACTGACTCCACCAGGCCAAGGGGGCTGCACAGGCCCTCACCTTCTAGAAAGCGGCAGCAGCCTGGCTCAGGATGGCCACCGCTCCGGCCTCCCTCCACATGGCCACAGTGAGGCCGCCTGGAGGGAGGGAGACCTTGTGGCGGGGACATCGGAGGAGCCCTCTCAAAGGCTTGGGACAGCCGTGGGGGGGCCTCTGGGGGTTTCAGTCCCTGGGAATGTGCCCCTCTTGCCATTTCTATGAATGGCCATCCACAGCCACACACCCGGCCATGGCTCCCCAGGACGGGCCACTGGGCTCCAAGGGGTGTGCAGAGGAGGTCAGTCACTTTCAATGAAGCCACAACCTCCATGAGAACAAAGGGACCAAGGAGTCCCAGACGGAAGGGCGTGGCCACCAGCATGGCCACCGTGAGAACTGCAGGGGGATCCGCAATTACCTCCCAGGTGTCCCTGCTCCAAAGCCTTCCATGGCCCCCTATCGCCCAGCCGCAGCATCCAAAGCCTTTGATGGCTCCCCATCACCCAGGCACAGCATCCAAAGCCTTCCATGGCTCCCTATCACCCAGCCGCAGCATCCAAAGCCTTTGATGGCTCCCCATCACCCAGGCACAGCATCCAAAGCCTTCCATGGCTCCCTATCGCCCAGCCACAGCATCCAAAGCCTTTGATGGCTCCCCATCACCCAGGCACAGCATCCAAAGCCTTCCATGGCTCCCTATCGCCCAGCCGCAGCATCCAAAGCCGTCCATGGCTCCCCATCACCCAGGCACAGCATCCAAAGCCTTCCATGGCTCCCTATCACCCAGCCACAGTATCCAAAGCCGTCCATGGCTCCCTATCGCCCAGCCGCAGCATCCAAAGCCGTCCATGGCTCCCTGTCACCCAGCCACAGTATCCAAAGCCTTCCATGGCTCCCTATCGCCCAGCCGCAGCATCCAAAGCCTTCCATGGCTCCCTGTCGCCCAGCCGCAGTATCCAAAGCCGTCCATGGCTCCCTATCGCCCAGCCGCAGCATCCAAAGCCGTCCATGGCCTCCTACTGCCCAGCCACAGTATCCAAAGCCTTCCATGGCCCCCTATCACCCAGCCACAGCATCCAAAGCCTTCCATGGCTCCCTATTGCCCAGCCGCAGCATCCAAAGCCTTCCATGGCTCCCTATCGCCCAGCCGCAGCATCCAAAGCCGTCCATGGCCCCCTATCGCCCAGCCGCAGCATCCAAAGCCGTCCATGGCCCCCTATCGCCCAGCTGCAGCATCCAAAGCCCGTGTGCTCCCCCCGCACGCCGCAGAGCCGTAGGATTAGGGCAGACCTGGAATGTTGTGCTGGGTGCTAATGGTGAATCACTTCAAAATTCAAAGTTTGGCTAAAAAGTACGAAGAGTAGAACATAGAAGTCACACACATTAAACAGAAAGGCCCCCCACCTCCCTGTCACGAGGGCTCCGTGGGATGCTGTCTGCCTTCCGGCCCTCGAGCCACCCCATCCCCAGCAGGGACACCAGCCACGTCCCCAGTGTGGACACCCATGTCTCCAGCACGGTCACTGCCT